TGATTGTATTTTAAGACACAACTTTATAGCCTAGCATTCTGTGAGCTCTGAAGTGGTACGGTGGCCGAGAGATGGAATTCTTGCCTCACAATCAGAAGGCTGTGAGTTCGAATCCCAGGTAGCGGCAGATATTTCTCTCTCTGGGTACAATGAGAATCTATCTGCTGAAGAAAACTCCGCATTGGCGACAGGGATGGCATCCGGCCATTAAAATACTCTGCTAGCTCCATTCAGTTGTTCAGACTCCACCCCGCAAGGGATTATGAGGTCATTAAAAGATGATAATTCTGTGAGCTATATTGGCTATGAGCTAGTACACTTTTGGATTGTAGGACAATGCTATTTTTTTTTAATTTGCAGCTACCCTGTAAATTATAAAATGAAATAGCCTAACACTGCTGGGTATTAGAAAAATGAGTGTGCAGGAAATAAAGGTAAAAGCATACACCTGAAATAATTTGCTATAGTTCATATTTCACAGATTAAAAGAATCTTCAACCCATTTCATAAAAAAACAAACCGATGTATCTCTGAAATAAGGAATAAATATCAAAATATTGAAAGGCCCAAGATCTCCTAAATTTTAGGACAAAAAAGGGCCGAAGAAAAACAAGCTTTTCTGTAAAGCTGTGTGACAAGCTATCATAGAAAAAGTTTTGAAATGAAAGAAGCCACATTTTCCTTGATATCAGATTTTTATGCCATTTCTTATTAATATATTATCAATCCCATTCATTTGGGTGCGCTATCTTAACTTCTAAAATAAATTAGATATAGCTTTCAGGCTAGATAAGATACATTCTGTAATATATATTTGAACTTATACTGAAGGAATAAATATTGCTCTTTTAACCATAAATATATGAAAAATGTATAAACCCACAATTCTAAGGATGTTTCTGATCTTGAATAATATAGTTCTACAATAATTCATCCCCATATAATCTCTTTTAATCTTCAAGGATCAGAGTTGACTCCAATTCTCTAGAAAGTACTTCAATACCTTGCTTATTCAAGGTTATATAATTTATTATGGATTTCCTCTATTTTCCAGCTACATGTAACATTTGTATTTGGTTAATAGTTAAGATTGCCAATTACATCCTTTGCAACACATTTAATTGCATCCAAACTGCTGCTTCAAAACAAAATAACTCCAGTTTCTTTGGAAGGAGAGAATAATAACTATGTTCGGTCATTTTCCAGAGCACACTGAAGAAAGAAAGTCATATTGACTTTGGATAGATCCATGATAGTTCTATGGTAGTAGAATTCTGCATCCAATTTTGGTCACCCCAATACAAAAAAGAGGTCGAGATTTTGGAAAGAGTTCAGAGAAGAGCAACAAAGACGATAAGAGGCCTAGAAGCCGTAACATATGAAGAATGATTGCAGGAACTGAGTATACCTAGTCTGATGGAAAGAAGGACATGATAGAAATCATGTGTTATCTTAGTAATGGAAATTTTGGGCTCAAGTCGAGGACTAATCTAATGGAAGTATTTTAGGTGAAAATGTAGAATTTAGAATAACAGTTGGAAGGGACCTTGGAGGTCTTCTAGTCCAATCCCCTGCTCAGTCAGGAAACCCTATACCATTTCAGACGAATTGGTTGTCCAATCTCACCTCCAGTGTTGGAGCATTCGCAACTTCTGGAGGTAAGTTGTTCTACTGGTTAATTGATCTAACTGTCAAGAAATTTCTTCCTAGTTCTAAGTTGCTTCTCTCCTTGATTAGTTTCCAATTATTGCTTCTTGTCCTGCCCTCAGGGGCTTTGGAGAATAGCTTGACTCCCTCTTCTTTGTGGCAACCCCTGAGATACTGGGACACTACTACCCTAGTCCTTGTTTTCATTAAACTAGACATACCCAATTCCTGTTCTTTATATGTTTTAGCCTTCAGACCCACTAATCATCTTGGTTGCTCTTCTCTGCACTCTTTCTAGAGTCTCAACATCTTTTTTACATAGTGGCGGCCAAAACTGGATGCAGTTTTAAAGCGAGGCCTTACCAAGGCCTTATAAAGCAGTATTAACACTTCATGCAATCTTGATTCTATCTCTCTCTTAATGCAGCCTAGAACTGTGTTGGCTTTTGGGGCAGCTTCAGCACACAGCTGGCTCATATTTAAATGATGGTCCACTATGTCAGAGTATATTCATGAACTGGAATAGAGTTTGGTAACAAGGTCAGCCAATGGATAGGCATAGCAATTAAATCAGCCAATGAGGATAGTTTGGAAACTGAAACTAGAAGTAGCCTAGGTTGGAAACTGAAACTAAAATAGAATAGAATACTTTATAGAATAGAATACTTTATTGGCCAAGTGTGATTGGACACACAAGGAATTTGTCTTGGTGTAAATACTCTCAGTAGCTTAGGCGTAGCTCTATATTAAGCTCTGCAACTCTGCAGCTATGTTTGAGCTCTGCTTGCTTGCTGAAGACTGGAGCTCTGCTCTGAACTTGCAACATGTTTCTGTTTGAGTTTGCTCCATGTTGGAGAAATCTACAACTGGTTTGTTAAATCTACTTATGTTTATAAAGATGTTAAATGATACATCAGCCATCTGTGTTTGTTTTTCTGGCACTGAATTACCTCTACAAAACTCTCAATACACTAAGACTCCGAATTCTCTCTCAAAATCTGGACTAGGATTCCCTGGTTTTAAATAATGCTGCATTTTCCTCCAAAGATCTTGCTTCAGGGTTTTGCCTTCATCACCAGACAATAGAGAAATCACAGTATAAATGATAGTAATATCAAGTTCAGTTTGGCACCTCAGTTGTGACTATTGTGAACAGCCCTCAGTGGGGTTTCATCTTTAACCGACATCAAAACGGCACGTGTCTGCTTGTGTCCTTTTTGTGCTAGATGTCAGACTGCATTATGTCTTCTGGAAAGCTACTCAGAGATGAATGCCTATAGTCACAAGCTATCAAAAAGATTCAGAAGCAGAAGGAAGCATCACTGCTGGTTTTATTGCACGAGACTAAATTGTATTAACCAGCAACCCTATTCATTTCTGTTACTAGCTCAGGAAGCAGCATGGTTGCTTATAACATTACAGTTGTGGCCTGCCAGTGGAGGTGGTGGCCGATTCGGACATTGAGGAGGTAGGGGAGGAACATAGGCCAGTCCTGGAGTCTGGGGAAGGCTCCAACAAGTGCTCTGCATCAGAGGCAGAGATGGGGCCAGGGCTGTCTGACAGTCATCAGCTATCTTTGGAGTCAGAGTTCAGTGGGGCAGAAGAACAGCTGGAGCCTGTTCACAGCGTAAGCATGCACAGAGCTGCCAGACAAAGGGAACACCTAAGGAACAAGGGTCGACTCAGGAGTAAAGCCAAAGGTGGATGGTGAATGGCCCCTCCTATAGGGAATAAAGAGGAGCGAAAGGTGAGGGGTGTTTGCCGGAGACAATTAGTTCAATTCATTAGGGTAAAGATCTGTTCCTGACTCCTTGCCGTGCATTGTCTGCTACAGAGTGGCGTTTGGAAGATATCGGCCTGGCAACTCTCCCAGCCTGATAAAAGTCTGTAGCTGTGCAATCTCTTGAAAGACTGTTAGCCGGGACTTTGCCGGAGAGGAATTCCCTTTAATCTAAATAAAAAGGGTTTTATCGGGATGAAGCATCGGCTTTGTGCTTTCGGGAAGCCTAGGTCAGAACAATTACTAAATAAACAAACCTTATACTTTCTAACAGCTAATACTAAAAGCCAGAAGTTAGAAATACAATATTTATGAAAAGCAAGCAAAGAGCCTACCTGGTGAATTCAAGTTAGAGCAAGGATTGCAAGAGAGGAAGACTTGACTTAGAACCGTTCATTTAATGACTCTTGACTCCTGAAAAAAGTGACTCCTGACAATTTTTCACACTTATGACCATTGTAGCATCCCCAGTCACATGATCAAAATTTGGGCACTTGAGAACTGTATTTATGATAGCAATAGCAATAGCACTTAGATTTATATACCGCTTTTCAGTGCTTTACAGCCCTCCCTAGGCGGTTTACACAGTCAACCTCTGGCCCCCAACAATCTGGGTCCTCATTTTATCGACCTTGGAAAGAGGGAAGGCTGAGTCAACCTTGACCCGGGTGAGGATCGAACTGCTGGCTGTGGTCAGAATTAGCCTGCAATACAGCATTCTAACCACCAGGAAGGAGAATGAGAAAAGGAAGGAAGGAAGGAAGGAATAGCAATAGCACTTAGACTTATATCCTTTTTTCAGTGCTTCCCAGCCCTCTCTAAGTGATTTACAGAGACATCCTATTGTCCCTAACAATCTGGGTCCTCATTTTACCCACCTCGGAAGGATGGAAGGCTGAGTCAACCTTGAGCCTGGTGGGATTCGACCTGCCAAATTGCAGGCAGCCAGCAGTCAGCAGAAGTAGCCTGCAGTACAGCACTCTAACCACTGCACCACCCCAGATCTGATGGTTGCAGTATCCCAGGGTGCTGTGATCACTTTTTGCGACCTTCTGGCAAGCAAAGGTCATCATTATTTTGTGTTTTTCCTTGAAGTCATTCCGTTTTTCATCCAAAGAAGCTTCTTCAGTCAGAATTGAAGAAGCTTCTTGGATGGAGAAGCAAAATGTTTTCAAGGGTAAACCAAGTCCAAGAGTCCAGAGGACTCTTGAAAAAAAATACCTTGGGGACAACCATTGACCTAGATGGTTGAGAATTTCCGTAGACACTTCTTTTGACGAGCAAAGTCAACGGAGCCATTTGGTTCTTATCTTAAGAGTTAGCTCAGAAGAACAACATTGACCAAAGTGATGAGCCAAAGGTTTTTTTTTTTAAAAGAAACAACTGGACTGTTTTGTTTTTTCCTTGAAGACATTTTCCTTCTCACCCAAGAAGCTTCTTCACTCAGAATTGAATTGAGAAGTGAAAAGTCTTCAAGGAAAAACCAAGAAAGTCCAGCTGCCTCCTGAAAAAAAATCACCTTTGGGACAACCGTGGCCTGAATGACTGAGAATCTCCATATAAATGATCTTACCTTTGCTTTCCAACTTCAGTTCTTCTGCTAGTAAGCTGTCCTGCCTATTGCCAAGTACAAATGCCAGAAAGGAGAGGATCATAGCATCCAAGATTCCAATAATGGCTAAGATGTAAGCCCAGCGGATCGAACAAGCTCCCAGCGTGTACTTGTCCGTTTTCTCACCGCACATGCGCTTCACCTCTTTTGCATCCCAGCCGTCGGGATAAATCATACAGCCGAGGATAAGGCAGGCAGCTGGGAGGATAAAAAGTGTAAGGGGGAGGGAGGAGGAAGAGGAGGTGGAGGAGGAGAAAGGAGGAGGAGAGAGAGGGAAGGAAGGAGGAAGAGAAAGAGAGAGAGTGCTGATGAAAACTTTAACCAGCCAATAGCTGCATTTCATTATATCCATAGTTTTATTATTAATATCATACACACACACACACACACACACACGCATGCATGCATGCATACATACATACATACAGCTTAAATCATATAAATATAAAAGCAAAATACCACTCAGAAAATCTCCAGAACCATAAAGCCTACAAACTTGAAATTTGGCACGTATGTTCCACTTGGCTTCTAGGTGCTCACTAAGAAAGGATTTTTTGAAATAACCATCAGAGCTATTAGTATTTTGTATGTTATTATTATTAACACGCTTTGATGCTAAGGAGTTGTACTCCCCCCTCCCCACCTGAAAAGAAATCTGTTCCAAATGCAAAACACAACCAGAGAACACAAGCCGTTTCAGTTTCAGAGCAGCTAAGCAGCTTTAGTACAGAACAGCTGAGCTAAGCCACGCCCAGGCTCCTTGCTGTCTCCTTCTTGCTCACACAGCAAATACTCTTTCAGTTTCCAAACAGCCCTCAACTCTCTCACACACTGACTGGATGCTAGCCAGATGAATACTGATGGATGGAGTCAAGAGACGTTTCAGTCTGGAATCATTGCATTCCCACAAGCGATCTGAGTCCAACCCCCTGAATTCTGTTGACTCTTAACTATTGCCGATTTTACCATTACTTGACCAGATTCTTGTCTCCAAACCTGGCAACTTTAAGACTTGTGGACTTTAACTCCCAGAATTCTCCAGCCAGCTACGCAATAGACCCCTAAATATAACAAAATAATTTTCTTTCTTAAAAACCACAATCTTCCTCATCTGTTTTTGACATAGCAGGAAGTTCCCACAAGTTTTTATATATAAAAAAATTTCTCTCTAGCAAATAGTACTTTCATGGATCTTGTGCCTACACCAAGAGCCTGAAGCAGGAGGACTTCTATATTTATTTCTCTGCTCACTGATCTGATTTTTTAAAATGCCAAAATTAGCTTTTGTCCAGATTTGTCACAGTCAGTAGGAGTGAACACACACACACATGCATACATTTTATTTTAAATTTTCATTTGGTTTGCTTGAAAGAGTCAGAGGCTCCAGAAAAATATCTAGCATGAAATAAGCTAGTTCAACGTGTATAATGCAGCTATTTTTAATGATCCACTTTAAACTATGCAGGAATGGGGATGAAATTCAATTAAAATAGTTACCAAAAAAAATACAAAAACTTGTCCATCTTCTTTAAACATTTAAAACTGATTTATGCAATATTTTAATTGAATTTCAGCTCGGTTGACTGTCAGATGAAATATCTTGACACATGTCACATTCAGAAAACAGAAAAAAGCTATTCTCTTCACTGTGCTGTATAATTTTACTAAATTCTACTGTAATTAGCAATCTTCACATCCCACAAAATAATCCAAAGTACAAGGCGGTATTCATTCTTGGATTCTCTTATCGATGCCTGAAAGCAGAACGTCTAGAGATGCAGGCTGGTTTATCAGCCTATCATTTCAAGTATAAAACTTTTTTTTCCAATGACTTACTACATATAGCTTGAGTTCTGCAATACCTTAAGGGCAACCAGATGCTAGATGTTATACCATGGCTTCAGTTTTACAATGAGGGAACAATTCAGGCCAAGAATAAATCGGGGAGAAAGGCTTTGGCACGATCTGACAGATGCCCATGATTTTCATGTGGCCACATTACCTAAAGTACTTGAACAAGAGAAAAAATTAACCTGTCTTAACTGAAAATACATACCTATCTTCCTTCCTTCCCTCCTTCCCTCCCACCCCCTTCCCTCCTTTCTTCCTCCCTCCCTTCCTTCTCTCCTCCCTCCCTCTACAATCCTTTCCTGCCTCCTTCCCTCCTCTCCAGAGGTGGGTATTCAGCAGGTTCTGACCAGTTCTGGAGAACCGGTAGTGGAAATTTTAAGTAGTTCAAAATCCCGCCCCCTCTCTTCTCTGCCTCCCATGAGTCCCAGCTGATTGGCTGGGTCTTCTTTGGTTGCCCTGCGCAGGAGAATGGAGCTGGAAAGCAGGTTAGTGGGGTGGGGAGGGAATGGGGATTTTGCAGTATATCCGTTGCCTGGAGTGGGGTGGAAATGGGTATTTTACAGTATGCTTCCCCTGCCATGCCCACCAAGCCACACCACACCCACCAAGCAACACCCACCCAACCACACCCACAGAACCGGTCGTAAAATTTTTTTGAATACCATCACTGCTCCTTTCTCTCCTCCCTTCCTCTTTTCCTCCCTCCCCCCTCTCTTCCTTCCTGTCATTCTATTATCATCCTTCCTTGTCATTCTATTATCTTCCTTCCTTCCTTCCTTCCTTCCGTCCTTCCTTCCTGTCATTCTATTATCTTCCTTCCTTCCTCCCTCCCTCCTTCTTTCCTTGTCATTTTATTATCTTCCAACTATGACCATTTTGTAGCATCTCCCTAATTATGTGATCAAAATTCAGATGCTTGGCAACCGGTCCATATTTATGACCATTCCTGTCTCCCAAAGTCATGGGATCCCCCTCTTTTGAGACCTTCTGATAAGCAAAATCAACAGGGAAGCCAACTTCACTTAACCACCATGTTACTAACTTAACAGCTACAGTGATTCGCTTAACAACTCTGGCAAGGAAGGTCATAAAATGGGGGGGGAACTCACTGAGCAGTTGTCTCACTTAACAACATAAATTCGGAGCCCAATTGTGGCCATAAGTCGGGGACTACTGTATTCTGATTAACATTTAAAAGAACCAGTATCATCCACTGGTGAAGGTTTTGGACATGGAAGAAAGAGATTGAAGTTCTGGCCCAGGGGTAGGCAACCCGCAACTCTGGAGCTGCATGTGACTCTTTCATCCCTCCGCTATGGCTCGCTGTCACCGGTCGCCTCCCCAATTGATAGGGCTTTCGGTTAGGACAAGGAGAGGAAAAAGGATGTCATGTTAGGAGGAGATTCTATGGTGGGGGAACCAGACTTCTGGTTGGCAGACAAAAAAGGATGCAGTGCTAGGAGGAGACTCTATGGTGGGAGAACCAGACTTCTGGTTGGCTCCAGAATTGAATGGGGGGGCTTCCGATTAGGACCTTTGTGGCTCTTTGAGTGTTTAAGGTTGCTGACCTCTGTTCTAGGCTAACTTCAATCATGGAAGATAAATAGATGATATGGCTTTCCGATTAGTTAACTCTCTCTCTGCCTATCAAACCTTAAATTCCTTAAAGAAAAGCAATACATAACCTTAATAGATAATTGTTGGCAACCAAGTAAAATTTACTCTTATACTTGAGCACTTACATTCAAAGTTATTCTGGGGTATATAGAAATATTGATTTTTCCCAACACAAGTTATTTGTTTCTTTAGCCTACCTTGTTCTTTACACAATTTAAATGAAAAATATGACCTTTCCTTGAAACTCAATGTATTTTGGCTGACATGTCGGGAAAATAAACCAACACCCCAGCTGGTGCCCAAACCTGCTGTAAATAAGGATAGAAAACCTATAGACTGCTTCCACTAACGGCGATCGCTCGGAAAGATAGGTATTTTCTGTTGATGTTGATGGGAAAAGACAATTGGGGGGAATCTTTGCCTGAGAACAACGAATTGGATGTGTCATGTTAATCAGTAACATAGGAAGGTTGTGAAGAGATGTTTGAAAACAAACTTGTTTGCAAAAGAGAGGGAAGGGAGAATTTTCTGGATAATTAATTGAAAGGTCAACAGGAGGGACAAAATGAAAGAACAAAGATGGGGCGGGTTGCAGCTTCTACTTTATAAACATCTTTACCATTTGATTTGTTTTTACTGATCGACAAAACGGATGTGGAACCTTAGGCTGCCATCTCCTTATCCCTCAAGGGGCCTTAAAATTGGTCCCTTTTTACTATATATGTTGACGGCAGCAAGACGACTGTACACACAAAAATGAAAGGACACTTTGATTCCTACCATGGACGAATGGTTGCAGAAGCTGATGGAGTTGGCTGAAATGGCAAAATTTCAGAAGCCTGGACTTCTCTAAGCAGTGGTGGGATTCAGCTGGTTCGGGCTGGTTCACACGAACTGGTAGTAAAAGTTCTAGCTGGCCTTGCCCTGTCCCGCCCTGCCACTACTTCACTGTCTGATCCTCCGGCCCACAGATACAGTCCACTGACACAATGTATCTGGCCCTTGCGTGGCTGGCTTTTCCCACCAACCTCATCACTTAAGGCACAAATAACCAGCCTCAAATTATCCTGTTTTGGACACATTGTGAGAAGACCTAGCTCTCTGCAGAATGCTCAATCAATAATATTTATTTGGTCAACGATCAGTGTGATAATAATCAAAAAGCGACAGAAGACCAGGTACAATAAAAGCTTGTTTATTTAGCATTTGCAAAGGCTGGGACCCCTTCTCCCTCAAATGAGAGAGAGATAGGAGACCCCTCCCAATGGCATGTTGGAGACTTTTATACACTTCTGCAAAATCAGCAAATTTTAAAAGAGCTAAACAGAGTGGAGCAAATAAATACATAATATACTCTCTGGAGAATGCTGAAAAGGAAGAAGGAGAAGACCCCAGCAGCAGGGTGAATAAACTCAGGGACAGCAGGGATGAGTGCATGATTGAAGAGCTGAAGGATCAAATTAGATCATCATCGAAAACAATTATCAGGGCGGTCGCTAACAACCCAATGACATGTAATCATGCAGTATTTCAACTTTGGTAAGACCATACCTGAAATACTGCATCCAGTTTTGCTCAACACACTACAAAAAAGATGTTGAGATTTTGGCAAAAGTGCAAAGAAGAACAACTGAGATGATTAAGGGCCTGGAGACTAAAATCATGTGCAGGATTTGGGTCTGGCGAGTCTGGAGAAAAGAAGGACTAGGGGAGACATGAGAGCAGTGTTC